GGGGTTCTGTTTGTACAGTTATGTTTTGTTTATGTTGCCATAGTCGGCCCTCTCGCTGCGACGGTGTGTCCTTCCGGGGTCAGAGGGCGCCCTGTGTGTTGTTGTTGTTGTTGCTGTGCGTTGCCGCGCTGAGCAGTTAGCTAGCGGCAGTGTTCTTCTGCAGATGTCAATAAACGGCTGTGCTCCCTGGCTAGCTCACGGGAAGCAAGACCAAACGACACCTCCGTCTCCTCCTTGTCTGAGCTCGCCACAATATTAAACATATCAGGTCCCCATAAGGAGAATCATGTGCTAACGGCTGTCTAAATGACTCGGGTAAAGTTTGTAGCATGCATGCTTGTTGTTTTTGTCTGCTTCCACTTGTCTTTGCACTAGGATGATGTCGGCGTAAATGTGCAGTCATATTCGTTGTGTTCCCACTAGTGCTTCAGCGTTAATCTCGTTGAAATGACTTAACGCCACAACACGGCAAATCTCCGTTAACGAGCTACCCCCGATCGCCCCGTGCATGGGGCTAGACGGCCAACACGTTAACGAGCTAACTGCGCTAACACACTAGTTCCCACCCATGTAATTGAGCATTGCGTGGCACATCCAACATACTGTTTTACTTTAGTCCATGATGCGCTACTTCAGTCAACGTCACATGAAAACCAAAATAATTCCAAACGCCAGATCTGAATGAGGGTGGGGGAGGTTCAATTTGCCATGTTGCAAGGAGAGCTTAACTTCTGTCTCGCTAGCTTGCCCTGCGCTCTTCCTTCTGACATGCTGTCTGTGTGTGAGCGCTCAGTGGATCTGCGCTCGACAGTGCAGCCTAGGCGGAGTAGTCGAACGCAGATTCACTGAGCGCTCAACACAGACAGCATCGTCAGAAGGAAAGTTGATAAAATAAATTACAAATTTTGTATTGTTCGATACATATGCGTACCGAACCGAAAGCACTGTATCGAACGGTTCAATATATATACGAGTATCGTTGCACCCCTACTTATTACCCGTCAGTCTACCGTTGTTTACAGCGCTGTCGGCCGCTGTCTTTTTTTTTAAACTTTACTTAAATGACCTCGGACAAGAAATCCTAATTTCTGCCGTTCAATACTGATGAAATTTAAACTTTTTAAAATTATGCAAACTTGCAGAATATTTTTAAGGTTACCTGCTATAAAAAGCCAGGACTGGAAAATCTCCTTCATGTTTTTCTGTTTTATCCTCAGTTACTTTCACACAAAGGCATGTGCTGTGATGCTCACACCTCTGATGAAGTCTCACAGTGTCAGTACTGATAAATGATCAGAACTATAATATTTCTGACTGTCTGAGGCTAAATCAAATCAAATCGGGACCTCGTGAATTGGAATCAAATGGATTATAGAAATCAGTGACGATACCCAGCCCTAGTGAGGAGCCTAGGCCCGGCAGAAGTGGATGTAGCTGTGGGTAATAGTAAAGATGAAAAGAACTATTGATAACTTTTTGTTAAGGCCTGATCCGTCTGAAGTTCATAGCCAGCTCTGACATGGAGCCATCAATCTCTGAGCGTTGAAAAAGCACAGTGTATCCAGAAAACACATTACAGTATATGCTGCGATAAATGCACTGCCCAAGTGTCCCCTCTAACACTGCCTTTCAGCAGCAGGCAGCAGCAAACAGGTCGTCAGAGGCCGATGTGATGATTAAGTTTGACATTGTCTACAATATTGCCAAAGAGTGCCAACGCTCTTTAAGCACAAGCACTTTTTCAGTAACTTATCTTTCTTGTAGAAATGTGCTCCAAACAAAGAACTTTGTGTTGACAAGATTGTTAGTTAACCATTTACAAATTAATAGTGTCTGTATGGACAGCAATTTCCCCCCAAAAAGTGCACATGTAAAACTGTGGTTTTAAGCAATGTGGTTGAAAAATTTGGGTGCGCCTAACTGGTGCTGGTGCGTCTCAGAAAAAAAGAAAGACGCACCAGTGCAACCACAGCAAAAGGTTAGTCTAGAGCCCTGGTGTGGCAGATAAGTTAGACAGGAATTACAGGACTCTTTGCTTTCTGAGAACTGCAGTTTGCTCCACCTTCTGAAATGATGAAATAAGCCGTCTATCAGGTGACACAGTTGTCTGTGGGCACTGAGAACTGGCTAACATCTGCTAAATGAATTTAGAACATAACACTCATGGGGAGTGTAATAGTCTAGCTTAGTTATAGCACAGAGGCTAACAGTAGCCTGGCTAACAATAGGCAGATTTCCACACATAGTCAGACGCTCTCTGCACGCTCACTTTGAGACAGCAAAATTTACCTGAAGAATTCTAGAAAACAAAAGCACAGCACAGGGTTGAGACAGCTTTGTTAAGAATAAACTTATATGGAGGATGGGGCTGTGGCCCCCCCCCCACACCCTCTAGCAGATCATTACACGAACCTTTTAAAAACAAGCGCGTCCATGCTCACAGGTGTACACACGGGTGATCACACCCACAAACTACACCCTTTCTGGCTCCTACCTCAAAGCACACTGTGTTCTGTTGATCTTATGTGCTGCACAATAATGTTTAATATTTACTGTCATATTCCCATATATCATTGTGATGTTGTTTATTCTATTACTCTTGTTCTCTTCTGCTTGTTTTCTTTTTTCTTTCTCAGCAGGTGATCCAGGTGATTGATATATGCATTTTTTTCTTTTTCTGCTCATTCTGTTGGTTTTTGTCTTTTGCCCTTCTCCCCTGTCCCTCTTCTCAGCTGTTTCTCTTTCCCTCTTTCTTTCTCCCCTTCTTTCCCCCAGTCAAGTCTGTCCCGTATTCAGTAAGTGAAAATAAAATAAGCAATAAAAGGTGAATCAAATGGACCATTACGGCAAGGCTGGGATGGTCAATTTGGTAAAGTAAATCCGTTGGGCATCTTTCTTTGCCTTTAGACAACAATTCTGATGCAAAAGAGCCAAACGGGACAGGCAAAAAAAAAAAAAAAAGAATAAACTTATAAAAGTTTAATAACTAGATTTACTCATCACTCCTACAAAAATAAATACATTCTGGTCTATATTTACACACATGTATTGCTTAATCTGTGTAGCGGACCACCAGGGGACTCCACTCACACCCAGCGAGAAGGGAAATGGGAAGAATGATGTTTCTGGGTTCTAAGGGATGTTTTGCCTCCTTGTGAAATCAGTTTAGTAAGCTGAGAATAAAGTTGGAGAGAAATGTGACGAGCTCTTGCGTCGTCCTTACATACCTCCACACCTGGATATTAGGGATGTAAAAAAAGAGTAGTTCTGAATATCTCTAAAGATTTGTTAGCTTAACAACCTTGAATGTTTGTTCCTGCTTGCTTTGATTTGACCTTCCGCTGTTGTGTGGAGAGTGCGCAATAGTTAGCAATAGAAGAGTCATTGTTTGGAAGTACTTGCTTCTCATTGGGTGAACACAGAGATAGAGCTGATCTTAATTTCTTTCATTCAAATACAAGCAATGAGAAAGAATGTTAAACAATCGTTTTTATATCCAAACACGTGCCTTAGTTGACTTTTTTGAGTGCAGGCCGGTCAGCCTTTAATCATCCCATTCTTCATCCATTATTTGTCTCGACTCAGCCAATGTGGTTGTGTTGGTCGCTCTGGCACAAACAGCACACACAAACTGGTCCCACAAGTGTCCATGCAGCGCTCAGCATAGCGGTCTCTACATCTGTACTCCTTGACCCTGTGATCCAACTGCTGTAGGCAGAATCTGGACTCAGTGCTGAACATAACATCCCTCCACTTTTTCAGCTTCCAGTGGCATGTTGCTGACACCAGTGCAAACAGGCCTGAGTAGGAAGGGCAGTCATGGCAGGCCTCCTGGCAGCCCTGTGAGGCCAAAGATTGGCTCCGTGTAGTCTGTTCTGGATTGTCTGACTGTGGGCCATATTGTCCTGCAATCCTTGACTGCAAATCTGTAGAAGACTGCCTACAGGTCCCAAGTACTGACACAGGGAGGAAATTATCTTCTTGGGACGCAAACGTCACGGCCTGTCCCTGACATCTCCCATTGGAACTTGACCTTTAATTTGTAGATGGTACTAGGGCTCACTCCAAATAATGCAGCAACTTATTTGTTGGAAGAAAATATTGAAGTTGCCCTGTGGCATTCGCCCTATCCACATCAGTCAAACGTGGCAGACACCACCTGACCGCTGTAGCAGGGTCCATGCTCATAGATCCTGACAGTCAGGCACCTGATTGTCAGCCCATGAGGTACTAGAAGCTCAAAACATGAGCCAAAAATTAGCTGTTTTGTACTGGCAGAGAAGAGCTGGCAATTTTTTATGGGACCAACCCACAAATGTGTCCCTGTTAATAAAATAAACAGGCTTTCCAACAGTGTAAGATTTAATGCCAAGAAGCATCGTTACAGCAAAGACATAATTGGTCAAACACACTTATTTTTACATGTCAAAAGGATGCCAGGAAGAGGACGTTCAGTACTAAAGGTCACGGAGTAAAAATAAACATCACAATTAGGTATTTACATAATCTGCCATTAATCAAATAACAGCATGAAAGGTAATAATTTCAGACTCTACATGGCCACACAAAAGCCCGAGCAGCGGTGGAAAACATTTCTTTTGAACATTTATACACGTAACCAGGTGCCTCAGCTTACTGGCTAACAAGGATTGTTTATGTTCTGTATATCATGTCCCAGTCTCGGTAATGGAACTAATAGACTAACTGCAGCTTTCTTATAAGCGGTATTTATGTACAATTAGCTCATCTTAAATTGTAGGTGAAATAAATAAAGGTGAATATTAACGCACATTCACACCACTGCCCCAAAGTGCCGCCTTCCTCTTTTCCGTTTACAGATTTAATCCTTAAAACCATTTTTAAGGCTCGCGCAGCCGTGTTTGTACCTAACCGCGTGCGGGATGCAGGTGGGACTGTTCTTGGAAATGGCAGGAGTTGGCAAATATGTTTGAAGTTAGCGTAAATACAACCGGAAATGATGAATGTTGTAGCTGTATTTAGGCTTAAAACAAATTGTTTACTTAATGATAAACTACAGCAGGAAATACAATGAAATCTGAAATTTTTATTAGACTTATTACTATGGACTTTCTTATTTTGAAATACGACACCGGAAGTTGTTTTAAATGCGTATTCGTTTATTATACGGGTCAACAACTGCTGCTTTACCAGAAAGCAGAAGGTGATAAAGTAACGTAATTTGGCGATGTGACATATATGTCAGCCAACCTGCGTACGGTTGAAAAGTTTTCAGTGTGTGTTGTCCGCTGTTTTAAATGGTGCTGCGGTAAGGAGTGCTGCAGTCTTGTAAAAGGTGAGTTATAGTCGGAGCAGTTAACTACTTGTAGCGCATGAGAGCGAAGTTTTGGTGGAGCTGCAAGCTTCCCTACTTTGCTAGCTAGTAGCTTACCTTTTCTAGCCTGCTAAAGTAATAGAGCGTTGGCCACACCGAAATAACGAAGCCAACGTAAACTCAACACCTTTTCATTCACTATAGTCGCATCTGTTCAGCAACACTCGCGCCATATTTACGGTTTCAGGCTTCAGCGAGCCGCTTTGAATGTACACTTAAGTTAGCAAGCTAAGCTATCTGTTAAACTTCCCTGTTCCGCTCGCTAGTCAAGTGCCAAGGATGTAAACATATGGCTCTGTCGATACCACCGCTGTTCTCCGCTCAGTTTGACTCTTGTTTTTATTTTTTAAACACACGCTTTGGTTCATTAGCTTGTCGTCCACGTCACATTGGTTGGTAATATAAGGCAATGCCTCGGTGATAAATTAGTCATATGTTTCTTAGAAAGTTCCAGTCAGACTGATTTGGGGGTGTGAGCTCATATTGTTTACATCAAAGAGGTTTTTGTTTTTTAATGTTGTTATTTTCTTTGAGGAAAATTGGAATCGTAGTTTTTACTTATTTTTCGGGAATGCATGCCCCAGAGTTGTTAACAGCTCATCTGCAAAGCTCATAAAAACTGTCTGATTAGCAGTTTCATGGTCAGATAAGGCCTGTTCCTTTGTTGTGCCAAAAACTGATTTCCAACGTTTTTTTTTCCATGTGTGATGTCTTTACTTATGTTGGTAAGTAGACTTAAGTAAACAGGATTTACAAAGCAGTTATATATAAAATTGAAAAATTACCTGTTCTTTAAGCGTTTTTATGTATTATTTCACCCATATTATACATTTGGCCATCTAAAATATCTTTAGAGAAGTATTGTTATATTTGTTGCAATTTCTGACAGACCTACCTTGGAAAAAGTCATTTTTAATGTCAATGAGACTTTTATTTTTTTAACTGAGTAAATAAAGGATGTATAAAAGCCAGTCTGCCAAAAACTGATTGTGCCTACTTCATATCATTCATGAGGGGTACATTTGACACATATTTCATATGTTGTAGGCCAACAAAATATTTTTAGCAGTTTAAATATGGGCAGTCACTTACCGGGAATCAGTTTTTGGCAGTAGATCACTTTTTGACACAACACCTTCATTTGGTCGCTATATAAGGTAACCCATATCTGGAGTTGAATGCACTTTTGAACTTGCTTTTCGTATCTTTACATTGGTACTTTCAATTTGAAGTCCAAACATTTGTCAGTGCAAGTGAAGGAGCCCATCATTAGGGAGAATGAAGAACAGATAAACCTATGAGAAAGGCAGATAAAACTTTAAGAGTGGCCAAATCAGCAATCTGGTAAATTCTTAAAAAGAATAAATGCATTTGGCACCTCAGCGAATGGCCTGGAAGGCCTGTGTGGAAAATCATCATGTATTTTTTATTTTTTTTTTATACATTAAAAAAAAAAAAAAATCATCATTTCCGTCACACTTAAAGGTCCCTTTTTACTCCTGAGATGGGAAGATCTAAGATTAATTTTGCCTTAAACATTATTTATTTTCTGTCAGAGGTTGAACATGAACATACATGAATCAACTGTAATGTATTACTACTGTATTTTAAATAAATAACAGCGGTGTATGTATAATAAACAAAATTATTTATTGTGATTAGGCAAAAGTTTCATGTGTTTCAGAAGAACACCAATGAACCGGAAAACGGAGTATTTTGGTCTGTTCCAATAAAATAAAGTAGCTATTAAACAAAAAATCTGATAGTGTATTGTTTTTGGTGTAAAAACAGCTAGTTTGAAGTTGCTGGGGAACAATTCCACAAATAGATAAAGGAGGAAAAAGAACATATTTTGTCTCCTCAGTAGAAGATCAATAACTCTTTAAACATAAACAAAACAGACACTCCAGTTAGGGCTGGGCCATATTATACCGTTATAATGTTAGGCAACGATAGGAAAATGAAATATCGCGATAGAATGAGTAAAACGCACATGCGCAGTGCCTTTGTTTTCATATGCACCTGGCCGATTGTTGAGTGAAACAGATGAACCAGAATTGGTTTGTGCGAATGGTGCAACTTCAGTGATGTGGAACTGGTTTGGTGTTTGTCCGTCAGATACACGACAAAGCACATTTTTTTGCAGAACATGCAAGCGGCCGTCGTTATTGTCGTATTTGTCGGACTAAGATGCTCTTAAATCTGGGAGTAATCTGGGTCCTAAACTCCGTATTGCTTCAGGTCAAACGAACACTGCAGCATCACTGAGAGTTAAAAACTGTCTAAATTCTTTCATCTTTAATAAAACGATCAGCATTGCTGCTTTACCAGGTGTAACTATGAAGTTTAACTTCCAGGCATCCATGAAAACAAAATTTATTACATTTAACGGAGTTAGAAGTTAGCAGGAAGCTAGCGGAAGTTAGCTCGCTAGTTTGCTAGTTACCTAAGCATGATATAGCATGTTCTGACTGAGAGATTTCTGAAAAATTCAAACGTACAGCTCTGCTATCACTTCCAACATAAATGAAGACAGGAAACTAAACAGCAGTGACGTTTGTAGGGTTACTGAAGTTGGGCTAGCTGGTATATAATGATGTGCTACGTGATCGCTAGCACAACTAAGCATCATAAACAGTGCTGGAACGACTAACACTTCACTTATAAAAGTTAACGTTAAGGTTCCTGATGTTAGAGACAAATGCAATCGCATGGCAGGATGCTGTAAACGGACCAAACTTCAGTCAGGAGAACAACTGAGATAATCCATCCACAATACGAGGTTAGTCATTAATATACTGCAACAACATGGGAATAGAGCAGCAAGATTCATTCATTAATAATCAATGGTACAGAAGTGGAGGAAGCAAGAAGAATGAGTTTAATAAAGTTTGATTTATCTGACTGCTTTGTTTCGCTTAATGTGCCTTATAATCCCGTGCACCTTATGGTCCGAAAAATACGTACTGCACACTGCAGTTTAATGTTGCAAAGCACCTCTTTTTAACTTCAGTGGATATTATACATGGTTATGCTCAGGATATGTCAGCCCATTTCTACTGGAAATGCCTTTTGGTTAAACTTTCAGCAAGGAATTTGCATTTGCACTGTTACATTTTTATAAAGCTTTAATGTACATAAAAACAGCTTCTTGTTTAAGTGAAAATAAATGGAAGGGTTTCTTGCGCTGGTAAGTTGTGGAGTTGTATTTTGTCTCGCATCAATTATATCTCAGTTATATCGTTATCGCAAATTTTCAAATATATATCGTGATAATATTTTTGGCCATTTCACCCTGCTCTAGTCCTAGGGCCCGTATCCCTAAAGAATCTTTGTGCAAAAAGTGGCTCCTAGCGGCCAAATTCTAAGAAAATTCTCAGAGTCATGACGTTTTCTTAGAATTTCCCCTAAAAGTGACACGACAATCCCAGTTAATATAAAAGCTATTCCTCAAGATTCCTAGCGCTTAAAAGGGCTCCTAAGGCGAGATCTGCTAAGAGCAGGGAAGAGGACTTTTAGTGGCTTAGGAGTTCCCCTAAGCAGCTGCACAAAATGGCCAACAGAAGAGGCAGGAGAGATGTCCTGCAAACACTGGATGACAGGGAATTATTGAGATGCTACAGAGTGGATCGTGCAGGAATCATGTTTGTGGTGGATCTCCTTAGAGATGCAATTACTTCACCAACTCGACGCCACAACGCTATTACACCGGAGACGAAAGTAATCACAACCCCGAGGTATTTGGCAACCGGGAAAATGCAACAATGCAGCAGTGATGACTTGGGTCTGCAATCACAGACATTGCTAAAAGCTGAGCCGTGTTACCCTCGTTAAGACCACACTGGACTTGTAACGTTGTGATTTCTACTTCATTAAGGACAGCCTCTTGAGATAGGCCATCTTGTTTTCAACGGGGTCCATATGGGAGTGAAAGTACAAAATATGCCAGCTAGGATATTAATATGAGCAAATAAGACACGAATCATTATTTGAACAGGGTGTAATGAGTTTTTCACATATTTTAGATTCTAATGTTAGGCTATAACCCCTACAGCTTACTATTCATTTTCCAGATATTTTCTTGAATGTGAAATATTATTTACAATTACAGTCAGCATAAGATTAGAGTATATAATATGTTTATTGATTTGAGGGTACATCCTTTGCTCATTATCACCAAAAGCTCATTTCCATCAAACTTGTAGGATCAACCAATCACGGCTTTTGAAATGATGACTCATACCTAGCAACGGGGTCAACCACACCTCCTCACTAAGATAGGATTTTCCATCCATTCCTTGCTCAGAGTTCACTGAAAATGTTCTGGAATCACTTCTAAGCTAAAACTCCTGGCAAGGAATTTTTAGGTTAAGTTAGGAGCTCTCTGAGAGGATTCTCAGAATCTTTAGGGATACGGGCCCAGTTATTCTCCAAGGGGAACATAGAGAACATAAAGTGTGGTTAATGACGTGGGCAGTGAGACTCTCATATGGATCCAATGTTGTAGTGAAAACAGCTGTTCAGCAGCGTCTCTAGCCTCCATGTGTGTAGGGAAAAGCCCAGTGAGAGAAATGTTAATGATCACAGAGCTACGCAGGTCAGTTACTTTAATGAGCTGCATAAAGCCGATGTTTGCGATTCTTGTCTTATAACGGCGTTACCTGGCTTTGGGGAAACAAACTTCAGTCCTAACATACCACTGTGTAGCAGCCCAAACATTAGGAACATTAGCTGCCGGTTGCTCCTCCTCCACTCTCACAGGGCTCCAATTCTACTTCAAACACATGAATGATTTGTGCAGCACTATTGTCGTTGGGCTTTCATGTTGTCTGTCAAAATGGGGATGGGCTCTATTGACTATATATATTGACCATGTTTTCTGAATAATTATTTGGTTTTATCACCCAGGTCTAGACACTGGCATGAATGTGAATACAGAACATTTACAACAAGGTGCAAACCACTGGTTACACTCAAGAACAGGAAGGGTGGATGCTACTAGATTACTTGTATAATGCAAATGGATAAGCATAGCAAAGCATACCACAACAGCAACGTAAGAGTGTCTAAGAAATGTGATATTCTCCCATGGCCAAGTCAGCCACCTGATCTCAACCCAGTAGCGCATACTTTTCAGTTACTGTGGTCCAAAGTGAGAGCAGAGAGACCTACAGACAAGCACAGACTGGAAGTGGCTGCAGGCCTGACAGAGCATCTCAGAGACTAAGCACTTGATGTTCATGGGGCTTAGGGTAGTCACTGACTGCTTGTTCACCCAAGTAATGAACCTCATCTTCAGTATTAGCGTGCTTGTTTGTCAAAGCATTTTACTTTTTATCCTCTGGAAGTTGGAACTCTTATAAAAATACTTTTGTCAAACCCCCTTGAGTGACTCAAGTGCAGTCTTTCAGTCTGCACTTGAGTCACGTCATAATTGTTTGATTTAAAGTCCACTGCTACAGTGTACAGAGGCAAAATAACATGGAATGTATTATTGTCCAACTTATGAACTTAACTCATATTATTTGTAGGATATATTTTTTGCATTTCATTGTGTGAAAATCAGTAACGTATCTGTCATATGGCATCAGCTGATATTGTTTGCCTAGTGTTGCTCGCCCGGTCCTCTTCTGTCATTATTGTGTGAATGCCGTGATCACCAGTTTTGCTTCCCGGGCTGAGCCATGTTTTAGCTCAGTGAGATGAGCAGCTGTTCTCAGAGTGGGAGGCCGGGGTTCAAATCCCGCTTATGGCAACATTTTTTTTCAGTTAATAGTTCAACCTTTTCAGATCTTTTCAACGAGAATGTCAGCTTCTTCACCACTTTTCAGCATAATTTTCAGTATTTTCACCTCTTTTCAGCACAAATTCCAGATTATTCAGCTAATATCAGCACAAACGTCAGATTCTTTACCTCTTTTCAGTTTCTTCAGCTCTTTTCAGAAGAAGTTTGATTTCCTTGAGCTCTTTACAGCCGAAAGTTTAAATGTTCAACTCTTTTCAGCACAAATTTCAGTCACTTCTTCTCTTTTCAGCAGTTTTCAGCTTCTTCACCTCTATTCAGCATAAAGTTCAACAACTTCACCTCTTTTCAGCAGAAATCTCAGCCTCTTCTTCTCTTTTCAGTATAATTTTCAGGTTCTTCATCTCTTTTTTTGCTGAACATTCTGCTTCTTCACCTCTTCTGAGCACCATTTAGCTTCTTCCGCACAGTGCACATTTTTTCTCTCATCATATCTTTGTTTGAGACTAGAACTGGTTTGGCTCAATGGGTTGAGCAGCCGCCGTGAGATTTGGTGGCAAAGGTTCGAATCCTACATGTGACATTTGCTGCACATCTTCCCTGCTTGCATGTACTCTGCTTTATTGACGCTGCTTGGTGTACCCTTTCAAAGACAGCCATTTTCAGCAAAGACTTCAGCTTCTACACAGTGTTTTTTCAGCAGGTTCTCCTTCTGCTGTTTTCAGATTCCACTACATGGCATTCACACAGCAGTTTTCGCAGGAAATGCAACTTTTTCTAGTTCTTTGTTTTTCTACCATATTCTAGTTGCTCCAACCTTTGCTGGTTAACTCCTCCCTCAGTTTTCAGCCGATTTTCACCATTCAAACTTTAAACTGTCCTTCTGCTAATGCCTGCTATATCTTTTGGTGCTCATAACTTTGATACTTTTTGAGATATTAAGCTTTTTATGCCATTTTTTGGCCCATTTTGTTGAAAGGGACCACATTATCAGTTAACACTTCAACTGTTTAAACTCTTTTCCACACATTTTTCAGCTTTTTCACCTCTTTTTAGCAAAATTTTCAAAAGTTCCAGCTTCTTCAACTGTTCTCAGCACAAACTTCAGGTTCTTTACCTCTTTTCAGCAAAAAAATTCTGCTAGTTCACCTCTTTTCAGAACAATTTTTAGCTTTTTTCACCTCTTTTTAGCACAATATTTAGTCTCTTCTGCTCTTTTCAACACAATTTTCAGGTTCCTTATCTCCTTATCTTTTTGCTGAACATTCAGCATTTTCACCTCTTTTCAGCATAATTTAGCTTCTTCTGCACAGTGCACATTTTTTTCTCTCATCATGTTTTTGGTTGAGACCAGAACTGGTTTGGCGCAGTCGGATGCGCAGCTGCCATGAGATCTGGTAGCAAGGGTTCGAGTCCTACATGTGACAGATGCTGCACATCTTCCCTGCTTGCATGTAATCTGCTTTCTTGACACATTGTACCCTTTCACATACAGCCATCTTCAGCAAGCACTTCTGCTTCTACACCTCTTTTCAGCAGATAATTCTGCTTTTCAGCTGTTTTCAGCAGATTCCACTACACGGCATTCACACTGCATTTTCGCAGGAAATGCAACTTTTTCTAGTTGCTAATTGCTGTTCTTTTCACTCTGTCTAATCTGCTGACCTGGCCTTTTTTCCTCCTGTGTTCCTGGATTCACAGGATAACCATGGCAATGTGGATCCAGGCCCAGCAGCTGCAGGGTGATGCCTTGCACCAGATGCAGGCCTTGTACGGCCAGCACTTCCCCATTGAGGTGCGGCACTACCTGGCCCAGTGGATTGAAAGCCAACTCTGGTATGCAGAATTACACCAGTCTCTTTCCAGTCCTGCCCAACTTTATTTAGATGGCACATTTAAAACGGCAATATTAACCAACGTCATGTACATAAAATAGGGTCACACACACGATACTCAGTAAATAAATAAATAAAAACTAACTGTAATCAGTGTGTTTCTGTGCGTTTTTATATAACAAACCAGACCTGGATCAGTGAGTGGTGTTGGTGAAGGCTGTGCATTCTATTAACAGTTTAAAAACAATGGTACCGTTCACAGGGACTCAGTGGAGTTGGATAACCCAGCAGAGGAAACCAAAGCCAAGCGTCTGTTGGATAATCTCGTGGCCGAGCTCCAAAAAAAAGCCCAGGTCCAGGGAGGAGAGGACGGCTTTCTGCTCAAGATCAAGCTAGGTCACTATGCTAGCCAGCTAAAGGTACGTGTTGGCTACGAGAAAAATGATGGTGTGTTACTACTGGAACCTTTGTCCCAACATTTCCCTCATATATTTTGTGTAAACTTGTGCTGATGTTGTTTAGTTTTTATACAAGCACATCTCCACAGCTCGGATCTAGACCCTGGGTCGTGTTTATTAAACTTCAGTCTTTTCTAATACGGCTGAGGAGAAGCCCTCAGATTTTCTTGTCTACATGTGTGTTTGGGTTGCAGAACATTTCGCTTCTTTCCTGTCGGTTTGTCTTTTTTCATTAATGTTAATCTAATGTTCTGATGTGTGCCGGGTGGCGGCCAGGAGCGGAGGCCCCGGCTGCCAAGACTGGCAATAGGGACATGGAATGTCACCTCTCTGGTGGGGAAGGAGCCTGAGTTAGTGCGTGAGGTTGAGAGGTACCGGCTAGATATAGTCGGGCTCACCTCTACGCATGGCTTGGGCTCTGGAACCAGTCTCCTGGACAGGGG